CGGGGGTGGCTGTGCTCCTGCGACCGCGCGTGGTCCCCCGGCTGCCTGTGCCGCCTTGCCTCGCGTTACCCATAGCGAGCACGGTCTGCTGCCTGCCTCGGTGGGGATGGCTTTGACTAAAACGTTGTCGGAGACGAGATGGAGACTAAGAATTTAATCTTGTTGGCTGGCGGGAGTAGAAGGGCTCTTGTTTCTTTTATACCCCCAAGACAAATGCACGGCTGTGCTCCTTGCCTGGTGTCTCCAGCAGATTTGCAATAAAACTCACCTGCTTCGGGCAGAGCAATTGCGAACGGCTCTAAATTCATGCACGAAATTGCACTGCAAGCAGGAGCACCTCCATCAAAGAAAACCTTCCCCTCGTGCCAGCTCTGGAGCTGACCAGAGCCGGCGGCTGAGCACAGAGGAGGCGCGTTGTGTGTGTTGGCATGCTGTGAGACGGGCAGCGTCTGGAAGGAAGGCTGAGAGAATGTTTATTCATCTTGTTTTCTCTGGCTGGGTGTCCCTTCCACTCGATTATGAATGTTACGGTGGCACGAAGCCCTGGCAATCAAGCGCTAGTTCGAAGTTGCTGTTACGAAGGACACGAGCCGTATTTTCCCTCTGAGCTGCTTAGACCTATTCTTGCGTGGGCAGCTCCATCACCAGCACAGTGCAAGACGGACAAAGTTTCTATCCCTGGCAAATCCACGGAGACGGACTTTGCCTCTTGAAACCCACGTTCACACTATGCAGCTTGACTCGGCTGTGCAAACAGAAAGGAAAGGCAGTATGTTAGGGAGGGGGAGATCCCTTGCAATGGTGCTTTACTGCCTTCGTAAAGTGCTGCTGACTCCAGACAAAGCTCGTCCATCATTTTGGTGTTGGAGAACTGTGGTGCTGGCAGTGCTGGGGGATGAGGAGTGCCCAGCACCGGCAGGGGACAGGCAGGGCAGAAGCTTTCTTTGTCTGGGTTGCTTTTGGAGAGAACTGCAAAATACCTGCTCAAATGATGGGCTTATTTCCCCATCAACTGTGTGAGTGATGCCATCCGAGACCTCTGTGATGCTTCAGCCCTCCAGCAAGGGCACATTGTCCAACGAGGGTTGTCATCTAAGGCAGAAAGCTGCCTCTTCTAACCAGGTTTCAGTCCTTTCGATGGTGACCTCTCCAGGTCGCTAGGAGTGAAGGCTATCTCGCCTCCCTTGTTAATCCACAGGAGCAATGAAAGAGGATGAGTTACTCTGGATCAGCCCCTGAGATGGGACCCTTTTCCTTTTTCAAGGTCACAGGAATCTCAGCTGGATTTAATTCTGAAGCTTTGTTGAACTAAGGCTGCTCTTTATTCCATGCAAGAGCACCAGGGGAGATGGAGCCAGGTTTGCTGGAGGGGTGACCTCACTGGGGAGGGGAATTGGGGCTTGCAGCCATAGGAGACATGTTCAGCCATTTAAAATGAAATGAATTGACTGTGGGAAAGAGAACTGAGAACTGATTATGCTCTGCTCTGTCAGGGGATGGTATGTTGGAAACTTCTAATGCACCTGTGTTGCTGCTGCCTAAAGTCACAGATCACCTGCTGATCAGGCAGTACCTTTCCAGGGCTTTTTCACCCCCTTTGAAAAGTATATTCTTGTCTTTCGAGCAGAGTTCAAGGATAGCCTCTAAATAAAGCAAAATGAAGATTGCTTCTTAGTCACCCAGAATACCCCTTAGGATGCATTTTGCTTTTGGCATCTTGCTTTGGAGATGAGGTATGATCAGGTCCCCATGGCCGCAGTGCTGGTAGTCCTTCTCCTTTCCTGAGGTGGGCTCTGAGCCTCACCACCTCGCCTGTGACCACCGTCCTGAGAGGATCCATAGACAACCTGCAGAGACAGCGGAGGCTCGAAAAGCTGGGGCTCCAAGGAGGGTTTAGCCACACGAACGGGCCGGGTCTGGATGGGCATTGCTGTTCTAGGACTCCAGCTTTCCGGACGCCTAAAGGGATTGTTTTCCACTTCACTCCCCAGCTTTGGAGGAAAGAGCTGTGCAGTGCTGGGCTCGGCGTCCCTCCCAGCAGCGATGCCAGGGAGCAGCAGCCCTTTGCTTCACAGGCCTTGGGCATGACCATGGAGCTCCTGCAGCCACCAGAGAAGTCCTGTGACTGGGTCCAGTTTGATAAAGCTGCCTTGCTTCACATGCCCACCCCCCCGGGGGATTAGCAGGGGAGATAATTCTGTTTTGTTGGACTCCTGCTGTTGTCGGCCAAGTCCATCTCACAGACACGGGTACACAGTCAATACTCCTTGCTCACCAAAACAAAACGTTCTTGGCTGACTCTTGCAGTTGCTGGTTATTAGGGTGATTTATTTGTATGAGGT